ACAAATGTGCTTGACACAATGAATGTTTGTATGGATTGTGATAAGAGTTGTATGAGCCCACAATAAAATGATTTTTTAAAAAGAAATGGATGCTATTGAACACACTGCTTCAGATCTAGAACTTTATATAGTATCTGCATGTTTGTGGATATATATATTAGTCTCAGAACCCCCAGTGGCAGTTCTGCCTAGACCTATTGGTTGCTATGGGTCATCACTGACTCAATGGCAGTGAGCTGAGTTGAGTTGAGGGACCCCAGGTGACTTTTACCATCAGGATCACTGAGACCTGAGAGGACCCATGACCTGAGCATACCCAGGCCTTCTATATTTTCTCCTTTACACTCAAAGCTTGGAAAGTGAGTTGTAATTGAGATACACTTTCATCCACACAGGATAGCCTGGTCCTTTTTGTAACAAACTATGACAACTATCTGATAAGCATTTGGCGCCTTCTCTATTGAGATTTCAGAATCCTCATGCATTCTTACACTTTAGTGCACACAAGTCTCACGTTGGCAAGTGGATCAACTGTATCGCCATGATCCACTACTGACTCAGGGAGAGTGCCGTAGACATTCCCACTACCCATGATTGGATTCTAATGCACATTGATGTAAATTAATGTAAGTGATGTAAATTGAAAATGTTGGATTTACAGGCAAATCCTCACACCAATGTCTGGAACCTGTTGTCTGTAACTCTGTGTGGTCAGGGGCCATCCAGATCAGGATGCAAACAGTAGATGGTTCCAGATCAGAGGGAAAGTAGCCCTTTGAAAGTACCCATAGACTTCTGCTCCATTGAAAAGGTCAGACGGAGTAATAGTTGGCTACATCTCTGCTGTAGAAAATTGTTGTTTTCTAATATGTTACCTATAATGCTAATGAATAACATCCTAAAAATTGTGCCGTTGGACTATATCCTGGATGTGGCAGTTTATTGCAACTGGGACCTGTTCATCATGGCCCGGCATGTTCATTTGGGCCACGTGGTTAATCTGAGAAGACTTGTGCTCTCTGGAATCATCTTGAACTCCTGGAGGGAGGAGGAGATGAGGGATCTAGTTCCCTAATTTGCCTCTTGGTCACTCAGTCTACACCAGCTGCATCTGGACTCTGTCCTCTTCCTGGAAAGCAGTCTGAAATCACGTCCTTGGGTGCTGTTCTAGATGAAAGAATATAATAGCCAATTAGTCCACACAGCAGCACAGCAGTACAGAGGGCTCAATTCAACTCATGTCCATGGAACAGTTAATATACTGGAAGTCCTTCAACTCAAGAGGACTGCTAGGTCCAAGGTCAAGGGAGCAGACATCTGAGTCTACCGTAGAATGATGCAGGCAGTCCAGGCATAGGCAGCAAACAGCTGGGCAGGTCACCAACAGTCAGCTAGATGACAGGATCTGACAGTTCTAAGCTCAAGCAATGTATACACCATCAGCATGGCGAAGCAGATCTTGAAGGAACCTCAAGGCTTAGTGACACAATCCATAGGTTAGGTGTCCCACGGGTAGTGTATCTCACAAGTTAAGGCAGAGAACTAGCTAAGGCAAGCACACACTGGTCCAGTCACCAGAGAGCAAGAGATAGACAGGCAGGGCTTACTGAGCCAATTATCTCTTTGCCCTCCAATCAAACTGCAACCTTATTAATACCACATGTTCCCATTGCCAGGTGGGCACAATAAACCTATCTATCACAGTATCCCACTCCTGGTACCATAATGGGTTTGTCTGGGTTGACTAGAGAAATAAATTCATGGACACTGATATGTTTATAAGAAAGAAGTTATATACAAGAGCAATTGGATATTCAGAAAACATCCCAGCCCAGTCTAGATCAGGTCCATAAGTCTGATATTAGCCCATATGTAAAACACCAATCTATAAAGTCCTGTTCAGACTCATGATGCCGAATGCAGGAAGATCACAGGCCAGTGGGTGGGAAGTCTTGTAGACCCAGTTACAGTGTAAGCATCTTAGCTCTGGAAAGGGTCTCCACGTGGCTTCCCCAGGTCAAGGGTTCTGGCTGCATCAGGGCAGGTCCACGTGGCTTCTCCTCAGGGATGTCTCACATGGAGTCAGCCTTGTCAGTAGAGAGACTCCAAGGAAGTGAGTCGAGAAACAGAGAGAGATAGAGAGTGACTCCTGCCTCCAGGGAGGAAATGCAGGAGTTCCCAGAATTCTCAG